ACCCCACTCCACCACCCCACACACACCCCACTCCACCACCCCACACACCCCACTCCACCACAATAAAACACACACCACACACTCCACCACCCCACACACACCACACACTCCACCACCCCACACACACCCCACTCCACCACCCCACACACACCCCACTCCACCACCCCACACACACCACACTCTCCACCACCCCACACACACAACACACACACCACACACTCCACCACCCCACACACACAACACACACACCACACACTCCACCACCCCACACACCCCACACACCCCACTCCACCACCCCACACACACAACACACACTCCACACCCTCCACCACCCCACACACACACCCTACACACCCCACTCCACCACCCCACACACACCACACACCACCCCACACACACAACACACACACCCCACACACACACACCCCACTCCACCACCCCACACACACTCCACACCACCTCCACCAACAATTCCACTCCCCCTTGGCCTGTGGGGCGGCAGTGCCTCGCTCTGTCCTGCCTTGCCCGACCGCGGGCTCAACTTTCCCCGCTCGTGTTTCTCGAATCTGTCACAAGCTTTCATGACCGCCTTTGGCGGGGCACGGCATCTGCAGCCTCCGCCACAAATATCTTGACCTCCCCCCCCCCACACACACTCCTCGGATCTCGATACCCTCCTCATTCATGCCGTGGTGCCTTCATCAATGCGAGAGCCTCTCGTCCCCCCTCCTCCTGTGGAATCTCCCCGTGTCTCACACACTCCCCCCCTCTCTCTCTCTACGTCTCCGTCTGTCACGGACAAAGTTGAGACGGTGGTGAAGTTGGGAACGGCGTTGTCATCGGGGGGGGGGGGGGGGGGAGCCCCGTGTCCCACAGCTCACGTGAATTGAAGCACTCCTCTTGATTCACGACAGGCACGATACGCTCACGCCGCCGGTCAGTCACCACCTTACAGCTCTGCTATCGCTACTGCCATGGGTCACTGTTCACGTCAACTCCGTGATTCATCCACACGTTTTGAGAACTCGGGCCCGGCCAGACTCACCGTTTCATCTCATCCAACCACTGCGTTCAATCGCCGCCACACTTCAAGTCACAACACTTTCTCTTTCGGCTTCGATCTCTTCGCGCTTGCAACCCACTTCGTGTCTTTTCCCCAAGGTCGTATAAACAACCTTGCTCGACTCGCGGAACGTGTTTAACTCTTCATCCATTCTACATTCGATGGTGCCGTTTATTGCACAACCCATGAAACATATTGAGAGCCTGTGTGGTGCGGCTCAAGTCACCACGCGAAAATATTCGCAGGAATCAAAACTCGGCTCTCCCAACAAACACACAGTCCCGTGTCTCTCTACTCGATGGCCATTCACACTGCCTTGAAACTAATTGTCAGACCTCGGAAGCTAAGCAGGTTTGGGCCTGGACAGTGCTTGGGGTGGAAGGGCGACCCAGTTTAGGGCTCGTGGCCAGGGCATGCACAGCAGAATCAATTTGTTTCACTGCATGTCAAGCTCCAAAGTCTATATACTCTGCGCTTTCAGCAACACGCATTGGCCCGTTGTCCTCACTTATCGATTGAAAGCTCATTTCTTTTTTAAACTTATTTTTGCGTTTAGTTTGGTGGCCCCCCTCCACCCTGCCCGCACCTCCGATGAGCACGCCTGGCTACGTACGGCGCGAAAGAAGTTCAACATACGTGCACACACTAAAATTAGGTAGAACACTACGACCCGTACGGAGAGGTCACCATCAAGCAGCTGATTGACAACATGCTGATCCTTTGTACATGCACAGCACGGCAGAACCACCTGTTCACACACGTGTAGGCAACGTTTTAATGCAATGCACCTCTCGACTTCAGAGCCTGCTGTTTGTATATTGATTTTTTTAAATCTAAAGTACGAGTTGATGACCTACGAGGACGATCTTGATCTGTTTTGGGGTTGTGCTTGGTTGTGCCACGGTACCCCGAGATGCTGAATTGAATCTGCACGCTAAGATGTGCGGCAGAAGGGGGGGGGAGTGACACCTTCTCTCAGCTGCTCACAATGTCTGGAACATTAAGTCCCCAGCCACACTCTTCCAATGCCGTCAATTGCACGTTGCCTTCCGTATTCCGGCGTGCAAATTGAGTCGCGAAAATCATTCCACGCGGGTATTTTTCTACTTCTTGCGTACTGCGGCAAATGTTGATAGCCACGGGTTCGCGTAGTTTCGCTATGATTCCTACTCCTCCGTTTCAAGAAGCGCTGACTCTTTAAGTTGATTACTGCCCAATAGGTCAAAATCGAGTACAGGTCGTGGACATGAACCCCGATGTCCGTTCCACGATTTGCCCACTCGTCTGTGAAGGGTTATTGCCCGAAACGTCGCCCATGCCATACGTTTCCCATTGAGAGAACCACAGCAGTATTGCTGACGAATGCGTCGCGTTTTCGTCACCACTGCTGCCTGCTGATCGAGGGCCCTCCCCGCCATGTGTGGTTGGTAGGGGGTCATTTTAACTTAAGTGGCCATACTTCACCACTGTGGTCAGCGCGAGTTGGTGAACGGTGTTGGGTGTTGGGAGGGGTTGGAGTAGCAAGAGAGCGTTACACCGTCACCCTAAGAGCAGGGTGCTGTTTGTCGTGTTTATGTTTGTGTGTGTGTATACACAGGGCAACTACACAGCTGCACCAAAGGATTACAGCACCACGGACTGGAGTGAACGAGTTGGTGAATGAGTGAAGTCTGAAAGCGATTGAGTCAATGGTTTGAGCGAACGACTTCGGGAATGGTCGTTCGTGGGGGAGAATGAGTTGGCCGGCCGGCGTTACCCGAATGAGTCTCGAGGGGGGGGGGGATGTGTCCATTATTTCAGAGTCTGTGCGTGAACGAGTAGGCAAATGTGTAAGTAAATGAGTCCGTGTGAGAAATAAGAGTGAATGAATTGGAGTGTGAATGAGTGAAAGTATGCGTTGGTAAGTGACCAGGTTAGTCTGTAAATTAGCAGTTTAGAAGTGATTGAATAAAAAAAGGAGTGCTAGAGAAGACGATTCGAGGTGAATGACTGAATCCGAGCGAATGAGTTTACGAATGAGCGAATGGATGTGTGATTTAATTAATGTGGGAACGAGCCTGTCAGCGATTGGATGTGAGTGAATAACGCAGAGCGAGTGTAAAGGAGTGAACGAGTAAGCCACTTAGTTCACAGGTGAATAAAAAGGTTCAAGAGTATACGTGAATGAGATTACGTAATGACTTGAGTGAATTAGTCCGTAAGAGTGAATTTATCTCGGCCACTGAACGAGGCTGCAGGGACACGAGTGACTTGATGAATCGAACCGTGAGCTAATCTATGGCTTGGTGAATGAGCGAGTATACATTTAAGTAAATCAGTCACCGAATGAGTCTATGAATGCATGAGTGACTGAATGAGGATACACGTGAACGACTAAGTGAATGAGTCGAGGTGGCTAGACTCGTGTAAAACAAGAACGAGCGAAGGAGCCTGTGGGGAAAATTAGTGAATGCGAGAACGAGTCTGTAAGTGAATGAGTAACTCAATGAACGAACGTGTGGCCGAGTATACGAACACAAGGAACGAATGAGTGAATGAAAGTCCACGGAGTGAATGAATGAATCTCGCTGCGAACGAATTGATGCGGGAATTAGTTTTTAAAGTGTCTGAACAACCCTTCGAACGAACATGTTTAGTGACTGAAACGAACGAGTCACTCTGGGTTCAACGAATGAATAAGTGAATGATTCGTTCCCTCTCACCTGCCCAAGGCTGTGGGGGGGTGGTGGTGGGGTGGTGGTGGTGGTGTGGTGGTGGTGGTGGGGTGGTGGTGGTGGGGTGGTGGTGGTGGGTGGTGGTGGTGGGGGGGTGGTGGTGGGGGGTGGTGGTGGGGGGGGTGGTGGGGTGGTGGTGATGGTGGGGGGTGGTGGTGATGGTGGGGGGTGGTGGTGGTGGGGTGGGGTGGTGGTGGTGGGGGGGTGGTGGTGGTGGTGATGGTGGGGTGGTGGTGATGGTGGGGGGTGGTGGTGGTGGGGTGGGGTGGTGGTGGTGGGGGGGTGGTGGTGGTGGGGTGGTGGTGGTGGTGGGGTGGTGGTGGTGGTGGTGGGGTGGTGGTGGTGGTGGTGGGGTGGTGGTGGTGGTGGTGGGGTGGTGGTGGTGGTGGGGTGGTGGTGGTGGTGGGGTGGTGGTGGTGGTGGGGTGGTGGTGGTGGTGGGGTGGTGGTGGTGGTGGTGGTGGGGGTGGTGGTGGTGGTGGTGGTGGGGTGGTGGTGGTGGTGGTGGTGGGGTGGTGGTGGTGGTGGTGGTGGGGTGGTGGTGGTGGTGGTGGTGGGGTGGTGGTGGTGGTGGTGGTGGGGTGGTGGTGGTGGTGGTGGTGGGGTGGTGGTGGTGGTGGTGGTGGGGTGGTGGTGGGGTGGTGGTGGGGTGGTGGTGGGGTGGTGGTGGTGTGGTGGTGGTGTGGTGGTGGTGTGGTGGTGGTGGTGTAGTGGTGGGGTGGTGGTGGTGTAGTGGTGGTGGTGGTGTAGTGGTGGTGGGGTGGTGGTGGGATGGTGGTGGTGGTGGGGTGGTGGTGGAGTGGTGGTGGGGTGGTAGTGGTGGTAGTGGTGGTGGGGGTGGTAGGGGTGGTGGGGGTGGTGGGGTGGTGGTGGTGATGGTGGTGGTGGGGTGGTGGTGGTGTAGTGGTGGTGGGGTGGTGGTGGTGTAGTGGTGGTGGGGTGGTGGTGGGATGGTGGTGGTGGTGGGGTGGTGGTGGAGTGGTGGTGGTGGAGTGGTGGTGGGGGTGGTGGTGGTGGTGTGGTGGTGGGGTGGTGGTGGTGTTGGGGTGGTGGTGGTGTTGGGGTGGTGGTGGTGTTGGGGTGGTGGTGGGGTGGTGGTGGGGTGGTGGTGGTGGGGTGGTGGTTTGGTGGTGTTGGGGTGGTGGTGGTGTGGTGGTGGTGGGGTGGTGGTGGTGGGGTGGTGGTGGTGGGATGGTGGGGTGGTGGCCCTCCCGCTCCACTTACTCGCTCGGCTGCACGTCGACCCCGGACTTTGCGATCCTCTTCGCCCGCCGCTCTTGGCTGTGTCCACTCCGATCGATCCCCACTTCCGTACCACCTCACCCCCCCCAACAACAACAACGCTCATGTGGGTCCGGGGGACACGCCGAGGAGACGCGACGGACAGAGCGAGAGAGAGAGAAAGGATGAGAGAGGAGGGGGGTAGAGAGAGAGAGGTGGTGGTGGTGGGGGGAAGGTATGTGTGGGGTTTATTCAAAGCGAGCGAGCGACACGCGCGTACCTCACTCCGCCTGCTCGACTCCTTCCTCGCTCGGCCTCGCGCGCCGCGTGGGGGAGGGGCGGACGGTGCCGGTTGGGGGGGGCGGGGCAAAGGGGGCGGGGCAAAGGGGGCGGGGCATAACAACGGAGGGGCGGGGCAGGAGGTTGCGTGGAGGGGAGGGGGGGTGGCTGACGTCACGACCAAAACCGCCGGAAGTTCGGGCGGTGACTTTTCCGCAAGGGCCAATGGGCGAAGGGCGGCTGTGTCCATGGCAACGAGCTCCGGGATCAACAAGCCCCTCCCACTATCGCCATCGCCCCTCCCCCACAATTGTTGGGGGGGGGAGGCGTCCCAAGGCGATTGTCAAAATCGACCCCATCTCGTTCCATCTCCATCAGATTCCTCTCAGTTTAAATACAGATTCTGATTCGGCCCACAGTCTCGTCATTCGCCCGTGGTGTGTGGCTGCACGTGCCTTTATTTCTCACAGTCATCGTTCCAGAAAGTGTTTTTTTTCTGTGACTATCCTTGGGTTGAGGGCGTGGCTTGCCACAATGGGCTTCTCATTTGTATTTTGCCACTTTATGTAATTCCCTAAGAGCTGTTGTGCCCCCCGTCATAAATGGTTATCACAATCGATTGAGACTGGAGGAATCCGATGGGATGTGAAGCTATGTTTCACAGATGTCCAGATGTGTTGATGGTTGCTGTACCGTGTGTATACAACCTTAAATATAGTTTATCAAGGCCTTTCATTGTGAGAGCGTGAATCAACTGCATCACGTTATACTGATGTAATTGCCTCAGAGATTATATTTTAAAAAACTGGCATAATTAATGGTTATATAATTCGCTTTGTATGCTTTAAAAGTTGCATTTACAGTAATTTTGGGGGAGTGGGCTTCACAAAATGTAAAACAACACAATAAAAATATGACACAAGTTACCAATTCACACATTGCCGACGACACCTCACTCAGAAGCACACTTAGGGGCGGATACGAGGGACAGCTGGCACCCACCCTGTCATTTTTAGACACCTACTGCTCAGAATTGTAATTTAAAATTAAATCTGAATGACTTAATGATTCCAATACTGAACGCGGCACATACGCGTTGATTACGTACCGAATAAGCATTCCATAATGGGTGTTTCATCGGCAATAGAATCAGTGTCAGGAAAACCCACTCACGATTCAGCACTCCAGGCTGAAAAACAATTAGCTCCCCGTTCCAAAAAAGGTTCATCTTGGTGTGCCACTGACCCAGCTTGAGAGAGATCTGTCTTGCCATCGCATGCACACCCGCTGAACAAGAACCACGGTCAGGCTGTCCCAGGCATCTTGCCCTGACACGACCCAGCACCTGGAGACGGGGCAGCCACCACCTGCACCCTTCATGCTTCAACTTAAAATCGTGACCCAGCGGTGGCCACTAACTGCAGACATCTCTCCAAGACGGCGTAGATACACACGCACCTTGGGCAGGGGGTCCACTGAGTCTATGCTGGCTACAATGGCAAGTCGTGGTCGTCCCCATCTGTTTGCAATCTTGCCTGGTTTGTAGTTTTTATTATTACACGCTTTTATTTTTACTCCGTCTGTTGTTGTTGTTGTATCCTCAAATCTTGTAACTCAAAATTTACCCACTTCCCAAATGTGCTATCGACTAACTTGGTATACTTATGTCATACTGATGAAAATACGATATTATATCATTAAAATAAAAATTATATATTTTTAAACCATAATTTTAATATGTTATGTTTCTGCTTGGGTCTAAATTGTCCACTTTCGGCTTGGTTCTAAACGTTATGGCAAACTTCGGGACCACTTCCTGGAGTCGTGGTGTTCTGCATTATTAGTACATTTCATGAAAGCGTGTTTTTTAAAAAGATTTTAAAAAATATTACTTATTAATCCGCATAACCAGCGAGGACCCTCACGCTTGTGCTGATTGGCTTAGACCAGGGGCCGACAACCGCTCTGGGGACGCATGCGGCGCTTTGAGGACCGCTTCGTGACCCTTCTTTGTTGAGGACCACCATCTCGTATTCACCACGCAGTGCGTTGCGGCTCTTGAAATGTTGAGGGTTTCTTTTGACCGAATTGGAACAAAAAATAGCTCTTCTCGTTTCAGTTTAATTTATTTGGAATCGCAACAAACAATAAAATTATCGTTATTTTTGTCACCGATGCCTGACTTAGACCAACCACCATTAGCCAAATCGATCTCCCTTGAGCCACCCCACTGGACAAAACACGTGAATTCGCCCTTCCATTGACAAAATACTCCATCACGTGTAAATCTCAAGATAGTTTTCACCAAATACAAACATAACTCGATTCTCGTATTTGAGATGATATCCAAAAGGATCACAAACTCGCGCAATAAGGGGCCGTCCATAAATGACGTCACGCACCTAGGGGGGGGGGGGTCAGACATTTGTGACGATGTGTGATGAAGTCGGGGGGGGGTTGAAAAATGTAACGTCGCATCAAAATGCGCAACTTTAAATAAATATAGGCAACACGTTCTACTTAATTAAGTATACTTTTAAATAAATGTTTTATCCTACAACATCAGAGTGCAGCGCCACATTAAATACGCACTACAATGGGGCAGAGCTTTGTGACGTCATATTTGAGGGGGGGGGGTCTGACTTTTTGTGACGCCGTGTGACTAGGGGGGGGGGGGGGGAAATCGTCCAAAATCGCGTGACGTCATTTATGGACGGCCCCTAAACCCTGCCCGTGGGTAAAATGCGCGTGTCGCACACTCCAATGTGTGCGACTTACAATGCGGTATTTACAGCGGCACGTGTATTTATATCCATCTCTAACAATTGCTAAAAGGAAAATGATGGTATTGGCCACGATTCGTGAGTCACCACGCTTACCCGTGCGGCTCTGTCGCAGTGGAAGCATGACGCGAGGCAGAGGCGGGCCCAACGGTGATGTCATCACGCTGGTAGGGGGCATTAGGGTTAATGACACCGCTGATCTTCTGAAATGAGCACATAGCTACTTCCGTTATTTGCCGTGAAAGAAAATAAATCTCTCCCCGAGGGATTAATTCATGGGAACAATAAGCTTGTTATTGTAATTCATATAAAAAAAATTATGTCGCACATGCATTACTTTTACTTTCAAGTGTTGACCCAACCCCTATACATTTCAGTGTTTGTATTGTCAACCATTAACTGCCCCCCACCCACCTCTGTGTCATCTGCACTAACAGCCAAAGCCTAAATCACATTACAGAATATGCCTCCACCCAGACACTGCATCTGCTCCGACCTGTCCCTACGATGCTCAACAGCACATAGGATGCATACATGCAATAGCGGCAAATGGCTAAACGTGTTATCATGCAGTTTATGCACAAATTCCATTTATACCCTCAGAATTACGTTTTTTGTAAACGCTGAATTTTTCACGAAATCATCTGAATTTTTTAAGCGAGTTTGAAATGTTTAGGGACTGCAATATTAACAATGCCGTATGTCTTGTTGCTAAAATAACATTCCCCATCGCTATGGGGTATAGATTTATGACGGGGGCATCATTAATTTAGGGCCCCAGAGTCAATGTATTATTCATGGCATCAGTATTTAGCCGGATAATTTATCGTTGGGTTTTCTGTGTGCTGACAATAACCAGGGAGAACTCTGGCATAAACACAAAACATGCTTGCAATGACTGCAGGGCACTCCATCCCCACATGCTCGGTAGTATTTGCATAAAATGCACGAGGAAATTGAATCTGAATGATGTCATCGAGGGCAGCGAGAAAAAAAAGTCAACAAAGAATTGAACGTGGTTTCGCAGACCCAGGGATACTTCTACTCTCGGCGAATACAATCTAACGGAACCCAGGAACACATTCTGAACGTATGATAATATTACAACATGAAACATATACGTACATTTTGCACCTGCTTGAGTTGCACACTGTATGCATATTTTTTTGATTGATTATGCTTAATTGGAACAGAAAGCAGATTTCTGATGCATATGGGCCTTGCAGTTTCTCAGGTGGCTTTATGATGGATGAGGATTTCCAGGGCCCTCCCATTAGCCACAGAGTTGGGAATGCATGCATGCCTGCCACCCTTGTGTTTGTTTTCACTTAGTGGTTGCTGTGCGCCCTGTTTTAAATTTAGCCCAGCTTCATGAAACCTGAGCTCTCAATCCTCCTCTCGCACAACACCCATCCTTCTACCCCATTCCCAAAACACAGCCATTTATTAAATCACGTGCATTAAAAATTGACCGCGCACAAAAGAATCCTGGAATTAAATACACGCAATATATTATCCCGCATATTTTTTTACCCGCGGAATAGTTTGTAAATAACGTGTTTATAATACCATGCAAATCTTGTCTTGACATTTGTCTTGTTATTTATATTAAATGAGGTTGCCTGTGGATATTATAATCCAGATTACGATGCGTTTTTTTGCTCTGCCCGAACATGGAAGTTGGCTGACAGTTGCACGGCCACGCTTGTGCAGATATAAATGAGGCCTGACTGCATCTGCCCGAAATACGGTATTCCAGGGGGGTCGGAGTTGGATTGCTGGACGGGCCACCTCGTGACACCCTGCCACACCTCGCTGACCCATGGAACATCTGTATCTTCCCTCTGCGTGGCGGCCGAAAATAAAACACCACAGTAGACTCATTACAGCCAATGTATACAAAGGGGGAAAACAAATGTACATTCATATGTTCGAAATCCTTTTTGTTAGCATGCTTGCACATGCTTGCATGTGTTCTTCTTGCCTCCCTACATAAGTGCCCTCGAAATGCCGAGCTAATTCAGGGATAACATGCCCCGTTATATTTGTTTTCTTAACAAAATCCATTCATATTTCCACGAAGGAAAATGTAGCCCAATTGAAGCATTTGTTGTGTTGTATATTATTGCCTTTTAATATTCCCCAAAAAAAAGACGAATAACCTGACTTGAAACGACTGAAAATTAGAAGATAGCCTCTGGAACGCACAATGCAATGCCATGAGGTGCAAGGAGTGTGGTTTTCTTATTTTTCCAATTCCTTTTTTTATC